TAATTAGTTTCATAAGTCACTATCTCAAGCTACTTCTTAGGATAATTCTTAATAAAATCAAGCAGAAATATGAAGACACAATGAGAAATAAACAATTCGGTCACAGAGAAGGATTGGGAACAAGGGAAGCTTTGATCTCAATGCTAAAACTACTTCAACGATCATGTTAAGTAAAGAAACCAATTTACGTCTTTTTTATAGATTTTGAGAAGACGTTTGATAGGGTTCAACGTAGTAGGATGTTTAAATATTAGAAATGATTGGAATAGATGATAAAGATCTGAGACTTTTGCAACATCTATATTGGAATCAAGAAGCTTCTATTCTGATAGACGGCAAAGAAACAGATAAAATTTGTATTCAACGAGGTGTTAGATAGAGCTGTGTGTTGTCTCCAACTATGTTTAACGTTTACTCAGGAATAATTTTTAACGGAGCCTTGGAAGGGCCATGCGGAGTTCAAATCGGGGGAGAAATTATTGACAACTTCGAGTCACTATCTATCATAGATATCAAATCTATCAATAATCTCTCAAATATTTATGTTTTTAAAAACTATAATAATTTTTAATTGGTAACTTGCAAATATTTATAATATATACACTGTATCTAAGATAAAATAATTATGATTAGTATAAACCTTGAAGAACGTAATATATCAGTTACTACATATATAATGCAATACTTACTCCACCTCCAGCTAACGTTTCTTCGTGTTTCCATTTATCTAAATTCAAATCGTCGAAATTATCTTCAAATATAAGATCACCTGAACATATATTTTTGGGCGCAAAGGGTCCACTAGCCGTCGTCACACTTTTAACACAATGAGAGTCCACTTTATAAAACCCTACTAGTAGGAAGACAAGAAGTACTTTCATCATGCTGTACGTCGTTCTTTGCACAAAGTATTGAACAGTAAGCGATCTACGTGTATATATCCCCCTGCACTAAATATTATCGATTTAATGTTTACTAATGTGGTCAGGAATTAAATATGAGGAATTACCACATAAAATAAAAAGTATAGTTGACTTATTGAACTATAAAAATTATTTTTCAAGATTATTTATCTTAATAAACATTTTACTCGTCAAATACAATTTGAATTTGACTCAATAGCTTTATATTTAAAAATGTCTTGATTTTAAAAGATATAATAGTATTGAACTAAATTATTATTGCATCAAAGAACATATTAACATTATACAGGGTAAGTAAGTAGATAATGCGATGCCCTACATATGAGGCTATGAGAGCAAGAGTGGACTAACCAACATTTTGTTGATAATAATTGAGTTATACATTGCAATCACTTCTAACGACCTAAAGTTATTGCTTTGTCAAGAATAAAATTTATTGTTTACAAGTAATATTTGTTGTTCACTAGTAGTAGTATTTGTGAAGATTTGCTGTTTATAATTTAATCATATAATAAAAGTATTTACAATTCAAATATTGTCAAACATCTTACATCAATATGATCAAATGCAACACGCCATACACATTCTTACACTACGTGTGGCCTGACTTTTAGGGGTGGCTCGAAAAATGTATTATATTTTTGCAAAATTTTGTAGTATGCTTAATTCGTAAATCAATTTTAACATTTGTTTTTAATACAAATTTCAGTCCTCTACAAATAGTTTCTTATGACTTTTGATGTAAAATAATTAGGGAAGCAAGAATTCAACAATTTAGAATTTCCCATTGAATTTCCTCTGGCCCGTTTGGCGATTCACCATCCGTTTGGCGATTCACCACTCGGACAATAATAAGGTGTTATACAGATTGAACCAAATTAAAACGGAACATACATTTTAATACATGTCTGTTTGAACTGCATTTAAAATAGTGGACCAATATAAAACTTGGACAAAAATAAATCCATACCTGGGTATAGACATTGTATAAAATATCGTTCAACTATCTGTCTCGCAACAAAGTTGTTTGCGTAAGACGGGTTTGTCTAAGGAGGCGATAATAGTTCAGGAATTGAAGCTCGAAAAAAGTTAAAACCTCGTAAAATTTTTTCGTCCTGCATGTATCCAGTTGAAATTTTAGCAGAAGGTAGGTAATAGCCCAAGGATCAAAATCTATATCGAACCGAAGTGCGCTGAAGGGTTTTAGGGGTGAAAACTACCCCTAATTGTCAAAAATTATAAAATAACATATTAAACCTGAATATGGGTAAGATTTGGTTTGAATTAATTAAATAATGATTATTTTATACTTTTGAATAGAGTTCCATCATATTTCAACCCTTAAAAAGCAACCCTTGTTAGAGATTAATGTAAAAAATTACTAATTCTAAAAAAATGATTTCGCCTTGTATCGATTTGGATAAAAATTTGGATTTAAGCTCAATTCACCCGCTGCTTTATAGTTTATGTCATGTCGACGAACCCTGATTGTTCTTAGGGGTGAAAACTACCCCTAATTTTCAAAAATTATAAAATAACATATTAGGTAAACCTGAATATGGGTAAAATTTGGTTTCAATTAATTAAATAATGATAGTTTCGTGCTTTTCAATAAAGTTCCAACATATTTCAACCCTTAAAAAGCGACCCTCATTAGAGATTAATATAAAAAAATTAGTAATGCGAAGAAAATGATTTCACCTTGAAACGACTTGCATAAAAATTTGGAATTAAGCTCAACCCCTCTGCTTTATAGTTTATGTCATGCCGATGAACCCTGATTGTTCTTAGGGGTGAAAACTACCCCTAATTTTCAAAAATTGTAAAATAATATTACAAATCCTAAGATGAGTGAAATTTGGTTTGGATTAGTTAAATAGTGAGTTTTTTATACTTTAAAATACAAATTCATACATTTTCAACCCTTAAAAATCAATTGTTATGAGTGCTATAGGTGAAAACAATTTTTTGCCAAAATTTTGCAACTTTTCAACTTTTGAAAATCACCCTTTACAACATTGAAGTTTTTATAAACTAATTTATAAGATATAAATTGAAAAAAGTAGAATTAAATACAAAAAAAATTATCAACATAAAAAGGCACCATATATTCTTATACATTTACATAAATAGTTGAAAATATTTACATTTATAGGTAAAACAATTATAATATTAATTTTATTCGTCATCAATTACATCTTCATCGTGATCTATGTCATCATCATCTTCCTCAATTATTGGTGGACTGTTATTGCAACCCTTCACCTGAGCACCCAGAACAAGTAGAGTTACAGTATAAACCAACTTTTCTGCACCCATATGAAACGCCGCATCCTTTTTTGCATTGGCAAAAAATAATTTTCAAAAATTTATCGGGTGCAGGTTGTTTGTTCATGCGTACGGGTAATAACAAACCATCTTTGGAAAACCATCCCCAATCTGTTGCTCTGATATTTTCATTGCCAAGCCATAGACATATGAGCAGATGTTTTATTCTGTTGTATGGGATTTCAAAATAAGAACGCTTAAAATTTCGAATGTATAACGCCCCACTAGCTAATATACCGGTTTTGTAGATTATTATGCTCCGAAATGTACTGTACTATACTAATGGAATTTTCCGGAAAAAAATTAACTGGTTTTTTTAACGTATTTCCTTTAATTTTTAACGATAGATGTTTCTTCAAAAACGATTTGTAGAGGTTTTTAATAGCTACAAGGATCTGTGAATTAAATCTTTTTGGAACCCTTGGTTTTTAAATAGGGTGAGTTTAAAGGGCTCGAAAAAGATGGTGCTTGATCGTAAATCGATGCTTTAAACGGCTATATCTCGCCAAATATTCATTGTACAACAAATCTAAATAAAGGATAATTTTAGTCATTAAAAAAGCTACAATTTGGTAATTTTTATTTTTTTCATATATTCAGTATTTTCGGGCATATTTAAAAAAAGAAGGGTAAAAAATATGAAATTGTAAATCGTTTTCTCGCTTTAAGCTGTACTTTTTCTAAAACTAAGCATTTTAAATGGGTCAAACTTCTTGGACGTATTAACAATACATCTACAAAGGGAATTGCAGAAGGGTGAAGATCGATTTTAATTATGGGGGTGTTAGGGTGTTGTTTTCCTCGATTTTTTCGTAAAAAATGAGGTATTGACCTTATTTTTTTATGATAGGTCTATTTATGCTCTTTAAAAAAGGTTTTGTGAGTTTTCTTCCAAAAATGCATCATTTTCCCGATATTTGACTTTGAATCTTTCAAATTTGGCATTTGAAGAAAACCGCTGAACATTGATATTGTATTTGTAATTGTATTTGTCTTTTTAAAAGCTACAAATTTGTTCTCTACAATTTTTTTTGATAAAATGCACCATTTTCGAGTTATTCGCGAAAAATCGATTAAAAACGTGGATTTTTTCGTCTAAAAGTTGTTACTTTCAATCGCGAATAACTTGAAAAATATCATTTTATAAAAAAAATGTATAGCACATTTTTTGTTTAGAATCACTTTTCTAATCGAAACCTGTAGTTAAAACGTAAAAAAAATTTTCACCCCGGAGATGGGGTGGCAACCACCCCCTAGGCTTTGGCGCACTTTGGTTCGATATAGATTTTGATCCTTAGGCTATTACCTACCTTCTGTTAAATTTCAAGTCAATCCACGCCGCACGAAAAAATTGCGAGGTGAAATGCTACATTTCCTGGACTATAACTGGTTTGACAGCATAATCGTAGATTTATGTGTAGCTTTCAATTTTTATGAGTTCAGAATCCAGCAGCCCGCTGAAGTATGGGATTTTTTATAATATAATTATTTGACAATCTTTTGTTGGCCAACCAGCTACAGCAGAATTGAGCCGAAATACATTATATTCCTATGTTCCGAATTTATTTCGTTCAATCTGTATATCCCAGACTAATAAACCAAATCACTTCTAAAGTAATAAAGTAAGATATACCTTTGGAAATGAAACTTCAGAAACAACTTTTTCCCATACTGCACATAATGAAATAAAGTTTAATAAAATTATAAATAAATGTTTATAAATGTTTAAAAAGATTATAAACAACAGTTGGGGTAACCAGCAAAAACAGATATGGTCGTGAGTTATTAATTGACCGCTTTTTTTAAATAACAACTACAGAGGAGATAATACATTTCTAAATAAGTTTTTATCTACTAATTTATTTATTATTAAATAATTACAAAGCCCAGACTTTTACGTAGTCAATTTTAAGATGTGAATCATCTGTGTTTAAGTGCCAAGTAGGTTTCCACTGTTGATTAGCTTTCCAGAAACTTGTCATACCCTCACGATAAGGTTGAGTGCTAGTCCATGGTTTTTTACCCGACTTATTATCAGCGTCATCAGGAAAAAAGTTTCCTCCAACGGCCAAATTAATCAATAAATGAAACTCCGCGTCAAATGGAGCCATCTTATTTCCACTCCATGGATTCTGTTGTCCTGACGACTGGAGCTGGCCAAGTTCCCAAAAGCCTCCAGCAGGCGGTGTAACGATTCCAATTTGTTGATCATCGACAGACAATTTTAAATGCTCAGGTGTCCACTCTAATTGATATTTGTGATACGCTTTGTCAAACCCACCTGCCAGGTTCTTTTCCCAGTGAGTTTTCATGAATTTATTATTTTTTGCATCGGGTCCCCAGTGCAGAGTACTAGCTACTAGATCTGCTCCAAGATTTTGTCCACTGCCTCTTGCTATAAGCTCTCGATTTCCTCTGCTCTCCATTACATCTATTTCTCCAGATCTTGGCCAACCTCCATATACCCATTTAGTTGGTAACAACCAGATCGCTAAAAAATATAAGAATAAAGTAAAATGAAATTTCAAATTCTTTAAAGATTCAAAAAAATCCTTTAATTTGCAATATATTTAGCAATCAAGGCATTATGACTTGAATAATCAACTTAAGAAATTCTGTTCAAATTTTATGTGGGACAATATAAGGTAAAAGTAAAAGAAGCCGCTGGAATATTTAAACAAACTCCTACGTCTTTCATCGAAGATAAACATGGGAACCCGCTACTGAATATAGAAGATCAAATAGGTGGATGGAGAGAATACATGGAAGAGATGTTTCAAGACCGAGAGAGGACAAACATTTACATGCAGGAGGCATCGACTGGACCTTATATCACAAAGCAGGAAATTATCAAAGCGGCAAATCAGATAAAGAACAGAAAAGCTGATGGGAAAGATAATATCCCAATTTAAATAATAAAGATATTACTAGACGAACACATCCAGGTAATGGAAGATATATTTAACAAAATATACGAAACAGGCAAAATACCAAATGATTGGCTGACATTGGTGTTTATACCACTACCCAAGAAGAGAAACGCCAAGAAATGGGAAGACCATAGATTAGCCTAATGAATCATATGTTGAAGCTTTTCCTACGAGTAATACACAATAGAGTATACAATAAACTAGACGAACACACTGGTCAAACTCAGTTTGGTTTTAAGAATGGGTTCGAACAAGAGAAGCACTTTTTTCAATACGTGTGCTAGTTGAAAGATGTAGAGATGTCGATTCTGATGTATACTTGTATTTTATAGACTTTCAAAGGCGTTTGACCTGGTAAAACATGATAAACGTACATTGGAAGTAATCTTAATGAAACTTGGGACCACTCACTAGAGATAAGAATACGCCTGGAAAAGGCACGTACAATGTTTTACAAAATGCAAAAAGTTCTATGCAAATGCCAGCTGGGCATCTCATTGAGAACTAGAATTTTTCAGTGCCATATTTTCTCCACCTTGCTCTATGGTGTTGAAGCCTGGACAATGACAGAAGCAACACAAAAAAGAATCCAAACATTCGAACTCTGGTGTTACCGTAAAATGCTCAGAATATCCTACATGAGCCATACGACAAATGAGGAAGTCTTGCGGAGGATGAATAAGGAACGACAGCTCATGCTTATAATAAAAGAATGGAAAACACAATATTTTGGTCACATCATAAGAAATCAAAATATGAACTGCTCCAACATGTAATCGAAGGCAAACTTAATAGCAAAAGGGGAACCAGGAAGAGTATGCAACTCTTGGCTTTAAAACCTACGGAAATGGACGAACATGACCTCCATAAAACTATTCAGGGCTGCTACAAATAAGATTAAATGGGTAAATGTAATGGCCAACGTCCTTAAGGATAAGGCACCGTAAGAAGAATATAAGGTACCACAATTTAAGTACATCATCATCATCTTTGCCTCTACAACCCTGGGTGGGTATTGGCCTGTTCAAGAATTAGTCTTTATTCCCCCCTATCTTTCGCCCTGGCTTTCCTACTTATGACCCCCAAATTCCTCAAGTCATCTTCGACTTGAGTTTTAAATCTAGACAATTTAAGTACAATATGTTTAAATTTTAAAAGCTTCTTTTTTATTGAATTAAATAAAAATAGAATAAAATCTAGAACTTGTAATGATGTCTCCGTCCCGTAACCACTTCTTACACACGTACTCTCACCAAAAGTTCCTCCTCTATCGACGCGCGCTGAGAAGATGGCTAGGTACTTTGATGATATAAAATAGCGTCGGCCACAAGAGAAAGCTACAGGCCGATATCTCTTCTAGAAACAATTGGAAAATCCTGGAAAAAAATCATCTATAGGAGACTAATGAAACATGCCGAAAGAAGAAGAATCACCCAAGATGAACAATTCGGATTCAGAAAAGGAAGAAACTGCGAACTTAAACTAGCAAGAGTCATCAGCGGCACGAAGATAAGGTTTAACACAAGACAAAAAACAGAAATGGCCATACTGGACATAGAAAAAGTATACGACACGGTTTGGAAGAAAGCACTTATCTTCAAGATGGACAGAGCTGGACTACCTCATTATTTAATTAGCATATGTGACATGTATTTAACTAATAGAAATTTTCATTAGAAAAGTTTCAAATTAGAAAGTTTCAGCAGACCAAAAGATGTGGATAAAAACAAGAAGGGATGCCACAGGGCAGTATTCTCTCGCCCATTTTATATAACATATTTGTTTCAAATATACCAACAGACCCAAGAACATCTAAGCCCTCTACGCAGATGATACGGCAGTGTCTGCAACAGAAAAGGATGACAGAAGAATCGTCAGAAATATAGAAAAACACCTTTGAAAAATCACGGAATACACCGATAAATGGAAGATCAAAATCAACGCAGAGAAGACACAATTAATCATGTTCACACAGGAAAACCCACAAGTGCAAGAAACCACAGTAGGAGGGAACAGGATCCAGTCAGGAAATTCAGCCAAGTACCTAGGAGTTCACCTAGGTACACAAAAAACCCAAGATAAAAGCTAATGCTGCTAAAAAACTAATTCTTTATTATATTTTCTGGTTCAGTCCACTAACGAAGGCTAAGAAGATCCAATTATATTAGGCCTACGTTAGATAAATGATACTTTATGCTGTCTCAGTCTGGAGGAGACTTGAAGCCACATAAACATCATGTTACACCATTATCGATGGATCAGCATGGAAAGAAAGAATATCCAATGCAATCATCAAGAAAGGCTCCAGTATACTTCACTTAGGGAGGTGGCTGAGAAAAGGACCAGATACTTCTTCTACCAAGCCACAAGAAGACTCCTAAAGATCAAAGACATCCTCGCGAAAAATCGGGTCCAGATAATGTTTAGACAAACCCACAGACTTATTGACTATCTGATCCGGGTCTAGCCGGGTGATTGCTAAAGATAACCAAGCAGGAAAGTAGATACGATGCCACAAATAAGTACCTACAGAAGAAGAAGCCATGAAATCAACGAAAGAAAATCAGGAACCGAGAGGAAGAAAAATCAACATCAGGCGGTGCAACAGCGGGACAACAACTAATTTTAAGTTAGCTTAAGTGTGAAATGTATATATTATTAGAGCAAAAAATGTTTTTATTTTTATTTTTATAGTCATTTATCCTTATACACACTTTTTCTCCACCAACCTCACAATCATAAACACATAAACAAGCCCATAAACAAACCAAAAGAAACAAACCAACAACACATAACCGATAACTACACAAACCCGTATCATAACACCAAACACCAAACAGTGAGCACTCCGGACACTCCTGAAGAGTCAAATTTAAATGACAAGGACAGGGGAAGATTGGTTTTGGGTAGCTTCCCAATCTTATTACACAACGATACCTGATCCTAGGTGAGGGCACAGCCACAGCTATCCTCCACGCGTTTAAAACCAAACTAAACAGTAGGCCAATAATCTAAAGAGGACCATTTTTCCTAATGGAACTTGTACGTAGGCAAGAAATTCTTCTAACACTCCTGCTTTACAGCACAACGAGAGCAACGGCAACAAGAGACACATTTATCCAACAAAAATACCACCCTTGAAAGGCACAAAAGCCTAAACAAGGTTAAAACGTTAGAGAGTAAGAGAGACTTGAGTTTCGTTAGAGTGCTGATCTAGTGAGAACCAGAGAGCCTCTGGATAGTGATTGAAGGTAAAACAAATAGCTGGCCTTCCAAATAAGCTTTATAAAATAATATACAAAATTGCACTTAAGAGTTTTTGTTTTTTATACATACCTGGCCATAACCAGTCTCCAGAAGGAACTTTAGCACTAACTTCAACTTTACCATATTTAAACGAAAAAGAGTTTAAAGTTCGAATACGAGCACTTTTTACGGGATTGACTATGGCATTAGCTGAACCTGTTCTTTTGCAACCTTCATTGTCCTTATTTGTACACCTAAAATGCAAAATATTTTAGATTCGTAAGCATATTATTTATATATAAATATGTATACATACACATACACACAACCAAACATATAGAATCACCATGCAGTTCAAACCAATATTTATTTCTTTTGAAAAAACTTGTTATTATTGCAAAGAGTAAAGGTTTTTATAGAAAATAAACAAACCAATAAACTAATCAGATAACACAGCCTGGTACGGTATATAATGTTTGCTCTAGTTGTAATTTGAATGAAAATAAATAAACTGACATTCGCTTTCAAAAACAAAAATATGCCTTATGTGGGGGTAACGGATGTGCAAAGTGGAAATAATAGTTATCTTGTGGAGCAAGGAATGTCTCATAAGAATAAAGCTGCAGTGGTAGGCGTATGGTATGCGTAACACAGGTCGTTGGAGTTAGGAACGCTTAAGAATAGACAAAGATAAAGTCTCCAAAAAGTAACAACGGATTTCTACGATCGTTTTATTGTCCAAGAAGCTAGAAGAGACCCAACACTTTTTCACCCGCAATTCCAAAAGCAGTCTATGAAAGGCACAGGTGTAATTTGTTTTAAATAAAACGATAAGAAGAAGACTTCGCTTCGAAGACTGCCCAAAGACTATATAGCAGTAGACAGTTACCTGTTCCCAAGTTAACCATGCAGTTCAAGTTTGATCGCCTGAATTGGTGTCTTCAATACCTAAACTGGAACATTGAAAAGTGATATAAAGAAGGAAGTATTATGTTCTAGGAAAGTAATATGGTCGGTGAAGAAACTCCTTTAATTTTTATGTAGAAACTCTAATGGCTACAAGATCAATGCATAGAAATAAAATCAAAAAAGATCAAAAACTTAATGGGAAGAAACGGATCACGAAGTCATAACTTAATACTAGACAAGCACAACAATCTGCTCTACGAAAATGAGAGAATACTTGAGAGATGGAGGGAATACATGGAGGAATTATTCAAGGAAGTGCAAGAGACAGAAGTCAGTGTTTCTGGATGTTCAGGACCAGAAATAACGCTCAGTGAAGTAACATATGCAATAAAAAGACTAAAAACCAACAAAGCACCTGGACCTGATAACATACAAGCTGAAATATTAAAACTATTTGAAAACAATCAACTCAAACTCCTAACGAGTCTACTAAACAAAATCTATGAAACTGCAGAATTTCCTACAGATTGGCTAGTTTTCACCTTCATCCCTCTCCCCAAAAAGGTAAATGTCACCAGATGCTCTGATTACGAAGTTATAAGCTTAATGAGTCATGCACTCAAAATCCTTCTTTCTGTTATTCACTCTCACTAATAGAGAACACTTGAAGAAAACATTAGCAGTGTTAAGTTTGGGTTTAGAAGCGGACTGAAAACGAGAGGCGCCCTATTTCAATACAAGTATTGATACACAAACGAAACCTCACAAGAATTCACGATAAAACGGGGAGTACTTCAGAATTGCATTTTGTCACCGACGTTGTTCAATACTTACTCGGAAATGCTGTTCAGGGAAGCTATTGATGGTTTAAGAGAAGGTATAAAAATCAATGGTGAAATCATAAACAATTTAAGATATGCGGACGATACGGTTTTGATTGCTGATAATGCGGAGAACATGCAAACATTAATAGACCGTGAAGTGGAAGCCTGTGATAGATACAGCATGAAATTGAACTGTAAGAAGACCAAAATTCTTGTAGTAAGTAAAAACGACGTAATACAACACCAATTCACAGCTAATAATGAACCCTTGATAATAGTCGACAAAATTACATATCTTGGATGCAGCCTTAATAAGGAATGGTACCACTCACAGGAAATAAGATGTATAGAAAAGGCGAAAGCTGTCTTCAATCGCCTCAGGAAGATTGTATGTAATATGCACTTGAACATTGATATAAGAACATGCGTCTTGAGATGCTATGTATTTTCTACTCTTTTATATGGAGCCGAAGCATGGACCTTGACGGAGGCAACATCCAAACGATTAGAAGCCTTTGAAATGTGGTGCTACCGCCGCATGCTCAGAATTTCCTATATCCATCATGTTACAAACAACACCGTGATCGAACATATGAATAAAGATCTGGAAATTATACGTATCATGAAAATCAGAAAGATGACATACTTAGGGCATGTGATGTGCAATGAGAAGTATCAACTAATTCAACTTATTTTACAAGGCAAGATAGAAGACAAAAGATCTCAAGGGCGCAGAAGGACATCGTGGTTGAAAAACATCAGACAGTGGGAAGGAATGGCTACCATACATCTATTTAGAGCAGCTGTCAACAAAGTTGAATAGACCAACGTGATTGCCAAAATCCACAGGTAATAGGCATCAAAAGAAGAAGAAGAACTTTAATAGCTCCCAGGTATATTGATTTGGTTCTAGAACCTGTAGTTAGACTCTGAAAAAGTCCTAATTTTTATCCATTACCAGCAGTCACTAAAAACTTCCTTGAATTAGAAGATATCACATTTCTATAGTGACCTGCTTGTTCATCCGACCTTAACTCTATAGAGCATTTGTGGGATATGCTTAAAAAAGAATTACACCTCGCCGGCATAATTCACAAAGTACTGTACATCATGTATACAAGCTACTCTTGAGGAAAGGAAACAAACTAATTTTTGTTTTTTCTGCGATTTTTTTCATCTCCTGATTTCTCTAGATATTGTCTTTTTGTCATCTTCCCGTGCATACGAATTTTACTAGTACTAATCGGTGGTTACTTGCATATTCTGCTTGTTTGTATATTTTACACCTTGTATTATAGTCAAAATACAATCAAATCATTTCAATAGATATATCATCAGCTTTATGGCTTATTTTTCTTTTAATTGCTACTTCTATGGACTTTTGATTTCAGGCTTTTCTCAAAAAACTTTATCTTTTTGTTCAGGTCCACATTTGCCCCTAACATTAATTCTCTAGAATATTTCCAGTTATTTAATACGCCATGTTTAGCGGAGTAGTATTCTCACCTTAGTGATTTTGTGCCAAGGAGCCGGTACGATCATCACTCTACCATCAAATTTTAAATAAAATTTAGTTGGAATTAGAATATCATCGTTGTGAATATTTTTGTTATATGATTATCAACAATATGTTTATAATAAAATTCATCACTGCTATTAAATAAATTGACCTGTTATTTTAACAATTATATCATAGAATATACACGCTTCTGACTGCGATAAATATAAAATTAATACATACGGACAGATTCGACATCAAGTTAAATGTATCTTATAAATATTATATTGCAGACTGCAAATTTACTTCAGCTCTTCTTGTGCCAACAACCTTTTTTAAATTAAGTATTTTAACACGTGTTCTACTTTGTTGTGAATGAATAGTGCTTAAATTTAAGAAAGATATATTAATTGGTGTTATTGAAGATAAAATTTAGGCTTTGCATTTTTTTTTCTAAAGGTTTATAATATTATGGCTTGCCCTAGTATGGTGACTCTTTCTCTTCTTACGGTATTTTGTTTCTCGAAAACGTTAAATGACTCGTGATATTTTAGTATAAGATACTGAAGTCTATTTGACAATAACTTAATCCCAAGTCGGCTAAAGTAATTGCCTTCACATATTCAACGCAGCTCAGATTTCTTAAAATACTATGTCAAATAACTAACATAAGCAAAGCAAAGCAAAGTCATTCTCAAACTTATTTCTCAAATTTTTTGAATTTTAATAGCCAACTACTTGGTTATTCTAATAATGAGTATTGCAATTTAATAAAATTACTTTATGCTTTGAACATACTATTCTATTTTTATAATAAAAATATCGTATTGTTACCAGAATGCTTCCAGTCTTCATGTTGTTGTTTGTTCCAAATTGGCGCCATTAAGTAGTCACGTAATGATGTCATGCTCAGTGACACTACTATTAATTATCCTTCTATTCGTAAAGAGTTCCAGACTAGTTTCTGTGCTGGTCCTGTATTCTAATTTGTACAACCTAAACCCGTAGATGAATTTAGTAAATTTACCACGCAGCTTAGTGTTCTTCTTAAAATTTTTATTGAACAATGCTTTCAAGATTTTGTTATTGCTCCTCCAAATATGGCTTCTAATCTTATAAAGTCAATGATTTTAAATTTGAGAACAAAGTTAAAGAAGTTGTTAATAACATTTTTACTTAAAATTCATGACTTTCAAAGGTAATACAATTATTCAGTGGAATATTCGATCACTTAACGCGAACAAATACTCTTTACGCCAGTTACTTTTTGAAGAACGTTTTGATATAGCAGTTTTATCGGAAACTTGGTCCAAACCCTGAGATGATGTTTGTTTTAGTAATTTTAATATAGTAAGTAAAAGTAGAGCTAACGGGTGTGTCGGAGTAGTTATACTTATATCTAATAACATCAATTACAAACCTATTTTATTTGTTAATAATTTCAATTAAAACTTGGAAGTTTGTGGCCTAAAAGTTAGTATTGACAAGAAAAAGTATACGATTTTCAGTTTATACCGACCAGTAAGAGCAAAAGTATCAGTGCAAGATTATGTCAATCTTTTGCACAAATTAACAATGACTGTATTATTTTTGGGGATTTTGGGGATCAAATGCGTGTTCTTCAGAGGGTAACATATAAGTGGAAGTCTTGAATTCTTTTCCTCACTAAATTATCGTAAACGATGGATTAGCTACTAGGGCTACTCTTCTTTTTCTATGGCACTACAGCCCAAATTGAGCCTTAACCTTCTTTATTTTTTGCCTCCACCCTTGCTTTTCTGTGGCCAATCTTCTTCATACACGGACTCGAGTCGAGTCCTGTCATACACGGGCTTGTGCCTCGCTGTTTACTGTGTCTTTCCAGCGCTTTCTTGGCTTTTCAATCGGTCTCTTTCCCTGCATTTTAGCATTCAGTGCTCTTTTTGGTAGCGTATTCTCACCCATTCTTATCACATGTCCGGCCCATTGCAATCTTTATATTCCAATGAAGTTTGACAGTGGTGTTTCCTTATAAAGTTGATAAAGCTCGTTGTTGTATCGACTTCTGAAGATTCCGTTTTCCCTCACAGGCGCTAGTATTCTCCTCAGTACTTTCGTTTCAAATGTGTCGAGTTTACTTTTGGATGTTTCTTTTAGGACACATGCTTCACTGCCATAGCATGCTTTTGGTCGAGTTAAGGTTTTATAGATTATCATCTTTGTATTTCGGTGGACATTTTTAAACCTAAATATATGGGAGAGGGCAAAATAAGCTCTGTTTTTCTGCGTTATTCTCTTCCGTATTTCTCCATTTTCTGATCTGTCAGCATATATTTCTACTCCCAGGTATATAAACTATCCAACGGTTTTAATGTCATCTTTTTTTACAACAATATTTTTGTTTTTTTCTGTGTTAACTTCCAAAACTAGCCTTTTTATTTACGTTTTGTTTATTTGCTAAGGCTATTCCTCCAAATGTGTTGTAGACATCACCATTTTATCTTCCAATTTATGCTCAACTTTTAACTGGACTGTTATACGAGATACATATGGATCCGATCACTTTCCTACCCGAATATATATATCGATAATATTAAGATAGAAAATACGAGGTTTTATCTACAGTTAAGTGGTCGATGTCTAATGCTAACTGGGAGCAATTCAGGCTTACCTTAGCGGAAGCTTAGAATGCTTAGGAACGCTTAGAGGAAGCGTTCAAATTGAAGCCAATTATTAATAATACTAACGAGATGATTTTATTCTTACTAGATTCTATTGCAAATACAGCGAACAAATTTTGCACACCCATTAAACAGTCAACTAAACCTGTAAAAGTTTCTCCTTGGTGGAATGAAGAGTGCCAATCTTATTCATTCAACAACATTTTACTGAAAGAAGATAATTGTGATTCTCTTAAACAATTTCTGGTCAGTCCTATACATAAAATAAACGATCATACTTCTTTAAGACCGTATTTCTCTGATGTCATGTCTACTTAAAAAAACTTGAACTGATCCTGAAAACTAGATTGTAATAATGGTGCGAAAAAGGCATATTCCTGGTAGCTCAGTTAGGCTTTCGAAGAAATAAAGAAACCATCGACTACCTGTCACAATTAACTACTGATATCCAATTGTCCTACTAAAATAATTATTTAGTAGCACTATTTTTAGATATTTCGAATGCATATGCTAACGGTAATTTAAGGTTACTTTTCGAGAAAATACATATAAGACATATAGAAGTCACATAACACATATAACACATATAGAAGTCTCAACTAGATGTGCACAAGTGTTGGTTAATCTAAGTATTCATTCGATGCCATAATGAACTGTTTAATCAAATGCGAAAAAAGATTAAATGTTTTAAAGGTAGTTAACCGTCAGCAATGGGACGCTGACCTTAAGATTAATCTAACACAGTTTATAGGGCATATGACAGGTCAATTCTTAACTATGGTTGCTTTTTATATGGGTCTGCTACAAATACTAGACGTAAAAAAATAAATCAAATCCAGTACAAAGCTCTGCGTTTGGTTTTAGATGCACTTAAATCTATACCTACTAAAAATCAATTAGCCGAATGTATGGAACCTCCCTTACATTTAAGACGTCTTTTTTTAGCTGAAAAGTTTATCTTTAAATGTCAAGGTAATAACCAAATCTACCTATTGCAAAAAACATCTTACATATCGGTGTCTAACTTAGTCTACAAATGGTGGTATAACAAATACTATTAAACTTTAGCTATAGCATTTCCTAATGTTTCTTTTTATTTAGAAATGCCAGCTGAAACTAATTTTTTCCAATCTAATTTCAATATTCTTTATTCCCAAACCAAAGTTTATTTTACTACTTTTGACGATAACAACGCCATTCAACTTCATAAACAACTTGCCAAATTTGATAAGCCATATAGGAACATGAGAATGCTTCGATGTTACGTGTTCTCTACTCTTCTTTATGGTCTGGAAGCTTGGACACTCAAAGAAGTTCATCTGAATAAGCTGGCCGCCTTTGAATTTTGGTGTTACAGAAGAATCCTACGAATATCATGGATTCAAAGAATGTCAAACATGGAAGTAACTAGAAGGATAGGAAATGAGGCGGAAATAATATTAACTATTAAAAGACGAAAACTTGAGTACTTGGGACATGTGATGAGAGGGCAAAAATACGCATTATTACAACTTATTATGCAGGGCAAAATGCGAGGAAAGCGAAATGTGGGAAGACGAAGAATATCCTGGCTTAAGAACTTAAGGGAATGGTTTGAATGCAGTAGTGCAGAACTTTTTAGAGCGGCAGTCAACAGAGTCCGCATAGCCATGATGATTTCCCACCTTAGATAGAAGATGGAACTTAAAGAAGAAGATATAGGAACACATTATGTTTAAATTAAACGAACAATATTCCATTTATTCCGGAGAACTTTTTGCAATATATCAAGCTCCGGAATGGACTATTGAAGAAAAATGTCTGATCAACAAATAGTAATCCTGTCGGATTCAAAATCTGCGTTGTCTGCTTTACATAATTCGCATAAGTATATATACAAAAACAGTATTATCGTCAAAATTTTAGAAAATCAGTCTTTTTTATTTGAGTAAAGGGACATGCTGGTATCTCGGGTAACACCAAAGCAGATTACTTTGCCAAGAGGCGGCTTCAAAAGGAGTAGAAATTAGTTGGCTCAATAGAAGTGATTTAGTCTCGCTTCCTTAACAAGAATTAAAAGAAAACTAGGAAATTGATGGAATGCTTTCTGTAACAGAAATAACAACCTGTTTACAAAAATTCACGCTGTTTTATCTACTGGGCCTTTTGCCGCAAGAAGTCATCACAATAGAATATTTATAAAGTATATTCAATGTTAGTTAATCATGCTACTGTGAAAGAGCCTATCTTCATATATTTAATTTAAGTAAAACAGAATTCTGCAATTGTAATGGTAACACTAACAATATCAATCATGGATGTTCGGGTGCATATATAATGATGCTGCTATTAAGTATCTATTGGAAAATCTGATAAAAGAACAAATACCTCTTCCTTAGAGTAAATCTTCTATTTTATATATTTCTCGTCGTAATATTAGGTTAGATCTTCTATTTATATATTTCTCGTGGTAATATTAGGTTTAACCAAATTTTTTCTGGATGTTTAAAAAGGACTTAAAGAAAAATTTAGGATGGAATATTTAATGCGAATGTATAAATCTAGCTTTGCTTCTTCTGTCTATCCTTATGTTATATATTATCTCCTAGCCGTTGTCTGTCTTGTGTTGTAATAAAGTCACTATGAGAGGCACCTTAGCATGAAAAGTATTCCTATATTATGTAATCCCTTGTTGTACTAAATATTCACATTAAGTTGATTAGGGCCCCGAATGTCACGAATGAAAATATGGTTCTTGTAAATCTACTGATTCTTGTGATACTGATGTTTACATTATATATTTTTAATTTACCTCTAGGCATAGTACTATTTTGTTAACAAATGCAATACATCATTAACAAATTCAAGAAGTCAAATGCATAATCGTGGCTGAATGAATCAAGTTGTCCAAAGTCATTAATTAATAAACAAAATTACAAAAGTACTTACTTCTTTCCTAAATCAATAGTACCAGAATATAAGAATCCGTCTCCTCCATGTTCATCGGCTACAAAAGTTGGTTTAATATGTAATTTTCCGTTTTCAGCATAGCTGTTACGTTTATCATCCGTATACCATTCAAATTCGTTGTTCTAAATAAAAAAAGGGATGGTAAAAAAATGGAAAATAGAATGTCCAACAAAGAAAAAATTAATATACATATTTAAAAAAGTATAAACACATACAGTGTATACGAGTATATTATGTCCTTAGATTTAAAATATTTTGCATTGGCCAAAGGAAGCCATTGGAAGGAAATGAATAAAGAAAGAGAAATGACAAAAATAGTAGAAGATTGGGGAACATTTAGAAATGCTGTGATAAATTCAGCAAAACTAGTATGTGGGACCAGAAAAAATAGGATAGAGGAATAAAAACCATGGTCGAATAAGGAGGTAAAAACCAAAATAAAACAAAAGCAGAATAGTAAAACATGGAAAAAAGAAAAACTGTTAGTCCAGAAATATTGAAACAATAGAAGGAAAAGCAAAGATTATGATACATCCTAAATCTAATATGGAAAAAAGGTATTTACAAGAGAATAGTCAAATGCAATAATTGCTCCAGTGCACAATAAGGCAAACACAAAAGACTGCCAGAACTATAGAGGCGTATCCTTATAAAGTACATAACATAAAGATCATACATTTACTATACAACAGATAATAGAGAAAGCCTTACAGACAAATAAAAAAGTACATAAGTTTTATAGACATCGAAAAAGCATTTGATTCAATTAAAAGGTAAAATATATGGGAGACCCCGAAAAAGAAACAAGTAAACGAAAACCTGAGAGAAGCTCTTAAAGGGAATTCAGGGTGTTAAATTGGAGATTTAAAATTTTATTTTTCGACATAACTTTCACGATTGTAAATATTTATGGATAAAAATTAATAATTGGGTGCCTTTGAGTAAGAGAAATTATAATTTTATACAAACTTTGATGTAAAGGGCGCCACATATGCCACATATGTGGCATACATTTGCGCTTAACTTTTTTACTATTTAAGTTAGCGCTATTTCTGTTAAATAATATTAAAGATACATTATTTTTACAAAGAAAAGGTATACTTGTTAATAACTTTAATATTCAACTGTTTTCGAGATAATCGCATTTTATAAGTCAACTGCATAATAATTCTTAGTTTGTGATATTTAGCGGTTAGCGAGCAGATAGATCAAACGCAGTTTGGCTCCAGAGGAGGTATGGGTACAAGAGAGGCATTATTTGCGATGAGAGTACTCTTGCAGAAATGTCGGGAATATGTCAAGAGTGCATATGTATGCTTCATAGACTTTAGGAAGCCTTTGACCGAGTGCAGCATATGCAGTTAATAGATGCATTAAAAAACACAAATTTAGACAAGAAAGACATTGAGTTTATTAAGGCTATATACTGCAACCAGAAAGCAGTAGTAAAGGTGAACGATACAGAAACAAATAATATACCGATTGCGAGATGGTTCAGGCAAGGATGGGTCTTGTTTCCGACGCTTTTCAACGTGTACTCACAGGTCATATTCAGAAAACCTTATGGGAAAGAAAAGAGGGAATAAGAATTGGTGAAGAAATCGTAAACACCATGAGATTTGCAGAGGACACGGTAATTATAACTGAAAGTATAGAACAACTACAAACTTTATTAGATGCAATAACTAGTGAAAGCATTTAAATTGGACTTGATATCAATACATATAAGACCAAATTTATGATAGTATCAAGGAGTCCAATAAATAATAAACAGCTAAGCCTTGGTGGACAACAAATAAAGAGAGTGACATAATAAAAATATCTGGAAAATTACATCAACACAGAATTAGATCCAGACTAAGAGATCAGGGTAAGAATAGAAATGGCAAGGGCAGCGATCTTAAAATTCAAGCAATTGTTTTGTGACAAAAATCTGAATACTGCGCTGAGACTGAGGTTTGTTTAATGTTACTTACGTCTGGGTACCACATGGTAGAAACATGGACGTTAAAAGCGTAAATAGTTAAGAAGCTTGAAGCCTTTGAACTTTGGATATACAGGAGAATGTTGAGAATTCCATGGACTGCCAGGGTCACCAATGAGGAAGTGCTAAAAGGGATGGGTCGAGACAAAAAATTGTTGAGAACAATAAAAGTACGTACGACTGAATACCTTGGACACGTAGTGAGGAATGATACATATAGTCTTCTGCAGGTCATTATGCAGGGTAGAGTCGATGACAAAAAGGAAGTAGGTAGAAAGAGGAAGTCATGGTTGGGAAATATTCGAGACTGAACAAACATGACTGTAGACGAATTATTCCACGTTGCAAAAGACAGAGAAACTTTTAGAAATGTGGTTGCCAACCTCCTCTATTTGGGACGGTATAGGAAGAAGAAAAAGATTTAAATTAAAGGTTTTTAAATATAAGACAGCTATAGGGAATTTAAATAAAACAGGAAATAATAAAAGTATTAGACGTAACCATATTTACTCATAAATTGATTTGTTCTTTATAATCAATGGTGTAGGTAGATTTTTAATATATTAATATTTTTAATATATTAATATATTAATATATAAAATTTAAATCCTCAAATAAACAAAATTTAAATTCGAACATTTTAAATAGACATTTTTACTGAATCGTAGAAAGCAAATATGGATATTATATTATAATTAATACTCACTCCACCACCACCTAAGGTTTGCTCATGGTCCCATTTCGATAAGTCAAAAGAATTAAAATTGTCTTCGAAGATTAGATCACCAGAACAGATACTTTTGGGTGCATGTGAGCCACTTGCAGTTGTTGCACTTTTTTTACATTCAGCATTGACATTGTCGAATAATATCACTGAAAAAACGAGCAGTATTATAATCATGTTTTCTGTCGTTTTCCGTATATTATGCTAAAATTTTATATTAGCTAACGCTTAAATACAAACAACTACACCGATAAATTAGTTGATGGGGAATTCTGTAGGGGTAACCAGGGAATCAATAAGTTACCTAGACGAGGGTATCGAAGAAATCAGTACGAATGTAAGAAATTTGAAATTCTTTGAACTGCGTTAGTGGAAAGTACCTGAGTAAATAAATTATTATGGTACATTCGTATAATGGTCAATAGGAGTTAAAATTCGGGTAATAGTATTAAAAAATATATTTAACCAAGAGCTCTTGAATATAAATCTATAAATTTTATGGTAACGTCATAAATTATAAACATTTTATATACACTGGGGTGCAAAGTTAATCGAACACGTAGATTTTTTTGTTTTTTGTTGGTGATTTGATCAAAACTTGTTTAATTTGTTTAAATTGTATTTTATGCCTTATTAGAAAAAAAACTATAATCTGTCTACCGAAAAGACGGAGTAACAAAAATGCATGACCTGCACGTGATTGTTGAAAAGCGACAGTCAAATTACTTAATTCGCAGAAGTTGTATGGGTCAGTTATCGGTATTGTATACAAGAGCGTACGTTTAGGTATTTTAAAGAAATATTGTAATTTGTATTGTGTTAATTGTATTTATTTTATATGTTCCATCCATCCAATGGCACTACAGCCCAAGCCGGGCCTTGGCCTCCTTCATTTAACCTCTCCAAACATCTCTATTTACTGCTGTTCTTTTCCATGAACGCGTTTTTAGGAGATTTTTGGCATCCTCATCTACCTCGTCTTCCCATCTCTTTTTTGGTCTCTTAACAGGTCTTTTTCCTTGCATTCTTGCGTTTAGTAATTTTCTGGGGATTCTGTTCTCATGCATGCGGGCCACATGCCCTGCCCATCGTAATCTCTGCAGTCTAGTGTATTGTGCTAGTGTTGGTTCAGTGTATTGTTCGTATATTTCGTTATTATATCTAATTCGCCAGTTGTTATTTTCCTTTATTGGACCCAGTATTCTACGCAATATTTTTCTTTCGAACACGTCTAATGCATTGGTAGATTTCTGTGTTATAACCCATGTTTCACACCCATAACTTACTATGGGTCGGATTATTGTTTTATATACCCGGAGTTTTGTTTTCCGGTGTACGTCTCGCGATTTGAATATGTGGCCCATCGCGAAATAGGCTTTGTTTGCCAGCATAAGCTTTCTATTTATTTCCGGTTCTTCTTCATTATTTTCGACCAGATCCATTCCTAAATACGTGAATCTATTCACGTATTCTATATCGTCTATAAATTTTTGTTGTTGCGCCTGTCTATTTGATCTGGTTTGTATGAGTAGTTTTGTTTTATTTGTATTTATTGTTAGCCCTACAACTTCTGAACTCTGTTTCAACTGAACGTAGGTTTCTTCTGCCGCAGTCTTTGTTCTGCTCATTATGTTTATGTCATCTGCGTATGCTGCTAATTGGGTAGATTTGTTTGTAAGTATGTTATTTCTGCTCACCGTCAACCGTCTAATTACATATTAAAGAACAAGATTAAAAAGTGTTGGAGCCAGTCCGTCACCTTGTTTCAGTCCTTGCGTTGTCATAAACGCATCAGTGATCTGTCCTTGAATACATACATGTGCTTCTGTTTCTGTCATTGTCATTTGCACTAGTCTTATTAATTATGATGGTATGCCAAATTCTTGTAATATATTAGGTAGTATTGTTCTATATATTGAATCATAGGCTTGCTTGAAATCTACAAAGAGATTGAAGACGTCTATGTCATATTCCCATGCTTTGGCTAGTATTTGTTTAACTGTAAATAGTTGGTCAATAGTAGATCTATTTTGCCTGAACCCTGCTTGATATTCCCCGATAATTTTTTCAGTGAGGGGTTGAAGTCTTCGATTAAGAATGTTTGTGAGTATTTTGTATCCCGAACAAAGTAAAGAGATGCCTCTAAATTCTGGCATAACAGTTTGTCTCCTTTCTTATGAATCGGGCAGATTATACTTTTCTTCCATTGTTGTGGGATTTTTTCTTCTCTCCATATTTCTTGTATAAGCTGGTACATCTGTTCTGTCAAATTTGTTCCTCCCTGCTTGAACAGTTCTGTCGGTATCTTATCTATTCCCGGCGCTTTATGGCTTTTTTGCATTTGGATTGCTGTTCGAACCTCCTCTAGCGTTGGAGGTCTAGCCAATTCATTATCTTCTCCATCTTCCCACAGCTCCTGTTGTTGACCTTCCTGTTCTACCTGCTGCTGCCGCTGTTGTAGTGGAGTTTGTGCCCTTTCGTTTAATAATTCCTTAAAATACATCATCCAGGTTCTCTTAATTTCGTCCATATCGCTAATTATTTCCCCATTCTTATTTTTGCATAGGCTAGTCTTCGGTTTGTAACCCTGTCTTAAATGTTTGATAAGTTGGTTGCACTGCGTGTTTCGTTTTCCTTGAACGCCCTCTCTATGTTTAGTATCCGGTTGTTTTCGTACCGTCTCTTTTTCTGTCTGCATAGTTTATCAGCTCTTCGTCTTTTATTCTCAAATTCTGTCCTTCTCTCTCTAGTTCGTCTGAGTATGAAATTCTTATGTGCTTCATTTCTTTCGTGAATAGCTTGTTTGCATTCTTCATCGAACCACTGTTCTTCTCTCCGTTGAGTGTTTGTTCCAAGAACTTCTTGTGCCGTGTTTAGTATGATAGTGCTTATGGTGTTCCAATGATTTTCTATTGTGAATTCTTCTATGTTTTCTTCTAGTAATTTTTCACTCACTGTTCTCTCAAATCTTTCTTGTACCTCAGAGACTTTTAGGTTATCTAAGTTTAGTTTTTCTTGTTTCGGATATTTTTCCTTTGCTTGTCGACTGATTTTACATCTAAACCGTATCTGTACTAGTAGATGGTCGGAGTCACAGCTTGCTCCACCCCTACTTTTTACATCTAATATACTTGTGGCCATTTTATATGTTAAGACTTATATATTGTTTGTATTGTACATTTTTGTGTTTTGTAAAGAAATTAGGTAAGTACATATACTAATACAGATATAGGTCAAAAAGTATTGTGGATGTAATCACGCAGTTAAATATGTATAAATTATTTCTGAACCATAATTTTCCACCAAGATTTTCAGCAAAAAGTTGGTTAAACCTAATGTATCACCTAATGGCTGAAATGTTACAAAACATTCGATACTAAATTCATAAGTTTTTAAATTAACGTATTTTATCTCTGAGCTTAAGTGGCATATTTTTTGGGAGATCTATTAATATGTATCGATATGCCTGGGTCAAATTTTGCTATCATTTTTAGACATTTCAAGAAATTTATGAATAAAATTTTGACTGAAATTAATAACGACGACAATTTGCCAAATTTCAAACGAGCAACATTTGCTAAATTGGTTAAGGAAATTAACTTTTCAGTAAGTAAAAATGTGTTACAAATGAATAACAATATCAATTGCATAACGGTTTTTGTTTTAGTTTTATAACTAGAAAAAAGAATAGCATTTTAACAGAAAAAGATGAAATAATCACCTGGAGACGTATGTATCTACGCGAAATCAAAAAGTTGAGAGAGGAAGGGCGGAAGATTTATTATCTAGACGAAACCTGGGTAAATGCAGGTCAAACTACCAGCAAAATATGGGTGGATGAAAATATTAAAACTCCAAGACAAGCCTTTTTGGAGGGTCTGTTAACTGGGTTAAAAACTTCCTCTGGTGAAGGTAAATGTCTAATTATATTACATATTGGATCAGAGGTTGGATTTAATTAAATTCGATTCTATATAGTACGCCCCTGGTACGCTAGAAATGTGTTGTCTGTAGAGATTTTTAAATACGCAATAATTATTTAATAAATAAAGACGTATTTGCTAAAGAAAACAATTTATGGCTTTTTAACTTCAACGTTCCCAGAAAAATATTGCAAACCATGGTATTCTTCTTTCCAAAGCGTAGTAACGCCGGAAGTTTGAACGAGTTTGAGTAAAGAATTTGTTGATTTGACAAGATGGAATGGTTGTGCGGGGAAAAGAGGCGGTATCTATCCGGCAGATTGAGATCGAGAGAGTCAAGCGAAGTCAGTGATGAAAAATTGCTCGCAGTGAAAGGTCGTTTAATTGTGATGTGGTAAGCCGGCATTAATTCGCCAAAAATGGTGGAATTTTCACTCTATGTAATATGTCGTTTTTGAAAGAGTGACCACTAACCACTTTTTGATTTGGCTGAAGATTTATAATGTTTGAGCAGTGAACAGGTTTAGTTCCTGCTTTATTTTCGTTTTCTGAGAAATCCAGTTCCTTTCCAAGATGCCTTTTCACCTCACGTATGATGATATTGGAGCAGTTTTGATTTGAATGTGCCAGTTTCAGCTTCCAATAAAGCTTTCCGTTGATGTGCAGTTAGATACCCCGCAGAAATTAGCCAGTTGTTCAAAAGCTTAAGTTAACATGTGTGAACTGAGGTAACATTTACGTTATTAATTTTTAAAGTAAAAATAGACATTTTCTTTTAAAAAGACAAAATTTGCTTTCTTTTATAAATTATTTTTTAAAACAATATTTGTAATTAAAATAAATATTATGTTAGGGCGTGGTTTAAACTGTCATGTCATAATTTTATCCTGTTTTAAAAATGTTTGTTTTGACGTATGACAGTTTGATTTTTAATCTATTTTAAAAGACATTTTGATTTATAGTAAAGATTAAATTTTATTTTTTAATAAGGGATATCCATAAAATTTGGCCACATTATCTACTAGGAACCATTTCCAAGAATTTTGTAACCTTTTGTAAACAGATATGTAAGTTTTTTTATTTGTATTTGACAGCTATCTTTATACAATATGCCTTTGTATAAGCTGTATTTTTGAAAACTGTTTGAGACAATAATAAATGTTAGATTTGTTTCTCTAATCTATTTTTTATTTTATTTAGAAAAATCTGCCTAACCTTTTTGTTATTTTAGATACTAGGGAAGAATTTTTTCTTTCCTTCTGTAAGCTAGGA